AATCAATCAATGTTTTGAGATGCAAAGGCTTTTAATTTAGTGTGACAGACATTTGAAGACAAAAAAACTATCTAGGTAGATCTAGGTCTCTGTAGGGATTGATATAGAGGTGGGAACTTTGGTCAATCTTTGCACCACACTTGTCCATTGAAACATCCCTGCACCAGTCGATTCACGGGGACAAGAGAGAAGGCCACTAACAATGGCGATGCCACATAACTCCTCACCATGAGACCACGCCACCTTCCTTCCATTCCCTTGTGTCATGCGTGTCGTCCTCAATGTTGTCGTCAGTTGAGGGAAACAATGGAGTTGCCAGAGGTGGGATAGATGGATCCACATGGAAATGTAGGTGGCATGAGAGTGCCATCTTCAGCTGGAGGCAGCCTGTAGAAGATCATTGACCCTCGAGATCTAGCTGTGCTCATGGACGATGGTGAGCCACCAATGGAGAGAGCACAGCAGTCTTCGGAGGGGATATGGTTGATGTGTGCTGGCTCTGGAACCCGGACAGGTGAATGGAGATCAGAAGGCGGGAGAGGCAAAATATTCAAAGGAGGATGAGTGGGGAGAACAGGCAGTTACGGCGGTTGTGTTGGGTGCATCGGAGGAGGAAAGCGGAGGAGAGATGGAGTCAGGTATTGACAAGAGGCATAGATGGACACTAGAACATCCACAAGTAAGTAAATCAATCACCCACCATAAATGCATGAAAAACATACAGATCTCCAACTCCAGGTAGTCACAAAGAACACAATCGCCAGGCCCTTAAACACCGCCACCCGTTCACACAGGAGTTTTAAGAACTGGTCGTCCACTGTGCTGTAGCACGACCCGATGTTCTGAAGGGCCGTAGAGGATGTATAGTCACACAGCGCCTGATCCCCAACCAAAGAGGAGTTGTCTGAGGATGAAGGAGGTGAATAGACTGGGAGGATTAGTGTTTTTGCTGAGCACGGAGAATATGCTTTTGAATTTGCAAGGGTGAGTGGGGAGTGTGAAGGAGATGGATGGGAAGGGACGAACCCAAAGATGCAGAATGCGGCCACAACGTGTGGACAGGATGAACAATATCCAAACAATGTCCCACCACTTCTGGGGAAGCTTCCCCAGTACATCAACAGTCGGCTGTGAAGTGAGGAAGGTGCAGACTATGTCGCAGGTGGATCTGTCAACGTGAACACAAGGCGGCCATGTGAAAACTGCTGAGGCAAGACTGCTGGTTGAGCTGCAGCTCTGGCAATGAGAGGATGCTGAGGTTGGATGTGTTTGGTGTCGAAAAGTTGAACACAAGTCTGTTGAAACTCCGACACCATGTGACCATGATATTTTTTTTTACATATTGTTCTTCCCTCCCACCACATTGACACATTGATGAGAGGCCCAATGTGTAAGTCTTTCCAATTCCTCACAACCGCTATTAACAACAGCTGCTCAAGCTCAAGGCTAGGCAGCCAAGCCCTGAGGTCACATAGGTTCCTCCCTTGCTGCATAGCCAGCAGCAAGGAGGGGTTCACAGGGGCCTGAGGTGAGTACCTGCCCACACTGGGCCATTCCTTTCCCTGTGCTTGCATACTTTCGATGTCTCTTATCCATGTTTGTCATATTCACACCCCCCTTTGCCTCCTCGTCTCTAGAAAGTTTGTGCTTTCGTCCTCTTCATCTCCAGTCAGCGTCCTTTGTCCACGTTCTCCGCACTTACAGCCTCCTTTGTCTGCCAGCTCGTCCGTGCGTACTTTCATCCTCCCTCATCCGTGCCATACTCATGCCCACCCCTTTTCTCTCTTCGTTTCCAGGTTGTGTGTGCTTTCATCTGTCTTTGTCCATGTTTGCTGCACTCACACCCCCTCTGCCTCCTCAGCTCCAGGCAGTGTTGACCACCTACCCTCAAGCATGTGTAGCATGTCTGTGTGTGCTTTCATCCTCCCCCATCTGTGTTCACTGTACTCACACCCCTCTTTCTCTCCTCACAGATTATAGCCGGCCGTGACCACAGTATTGTCAAATGGCTTCGGCGGTGCTGGTACAGCTATGGGCAGTACAGTATTCCTTTTTGTTCCATAATACTTGCTTGGCTGATTATTCTTTTACTCATGTCGTAGTCAGCATGCTGGTGCAGGCATATGAGGAGAGCTTGGAGACAGATGGATATGTTTATTGATCAGTATCACCTTATTTTATAGACAGCATTTGTAAATCACCAGGAGGGGGAAATATATATGTATTGGTTTTTTCCCATGCTATGTTGTACAATACTATCTATGTCTGTCTATGTACAAAAACTGGACTTCCATACTATGATGCTATGGGGGAGTATGTCGTGAGCAGGTGAGGCTATATATGTAATTATAGTATTATATAAACTGACAGTGATGCTATGGAGTGCTATATAAAGGGGGGGTTGCAAAAGTGCTACCATAGCTACCACGACTATATTGTGCAATGTGGTAACCACTTTTTTTCCTGATGTCCTTCAGGACAGATTTACAAATATATGGCATTTACATGTTATCTCCTCTTAAATGCCGATTCTGACTCACTTAAATTAAAAAATGTACTTCTACACTAACTGGGCAAAAAGATTGTCTGATCATTTTTTGGACAAAGTTGGTGCTATAACACAAGAATCAATCATTTTGAGAACTAAGCTCTAGTGTATAAAATATAGCTAAGGAGCTGTAGATTGTATATACCAAGTCTGGGGATGAACAATTGAAAACTCAGGATAAGGCAGGGAATTGACTGTGACAAGTGCCAAAAATGGGATGTAACAAATTGGGAAATTCTGAATGACTGCAATCTACTGAAAGCAATTCACAACTTGAGGAAGAGATATTTTTAAAACTGGATCTCCCTGCTATTGTTATGAGTTTCATAAAGTCTCTGGGCTAGAAAAAATTACATCCTCCTCTAAAAGGTAAATTTGAACTTATTCTCCATTTTATGTATTTTTCACTCAATATATTTGTTGGAATGAGGTAAAATGACTCCCTATTGTTGTTTGTAGTGTGTGTAATAGAAAGGTAGGTAGAAATGTTAAAATGAACATTGCATGATGTCTGTAGAAGCTAATTCCCAGAGTTTTTCTGGAAGTAAACAAGTATCTACAACATTGGTTCTTCATTTCTGCAAGAAGAAAAAATGCTACTATCCTTTTGAATTGATATATGGAGACTCAGGATGTCTTTTAAACAATGCCTGAAGTATAGCATGATAGCAAATAAATTTACACTGGGTATAACTTGAAAAGTTCCCAATAAAAGTACTTTTTGCATAGAGCAATCATCCTGGACCAATCCTTGACATTTTTCTTGGTGAATTGGGGCTGAAAATATTTCACAAGGCACTTCTCATGCCTAGTAACACTATCCCAAAAAAATAAACAGAGGT